TTGTGTTCGCAGCCGCCGCCGCGCCGCCGTCGCTCTCCAACGCCAGCGCCGCCTCTCGCTCGCCGAGCTCCAGCCGAAGGAGAAGGGGGGTAAGTTTCCCAGTCTGTCCTCTTCCCCAGAACCGAGCCCTGCTTGCCGTCAGCCCCGACCCGGGCCCTGGTGGTGCCGGGAGGGGACCCGTAGCCCCTCCACCTTAGCCCACAAACTTTTTGGCCCAGAAATGGAGCGAGTTTCCCTCTTCCCTCTGGCGGCGGCGGCTCCCCAGTCTCTCGCCGCCTCAGCCCAACAGCAGCAACCGCCGCGGCGCCGAGCCTGCTCTCCCTCCTCCTCCCCGCGCCCCTGGCTCCTCTTTCTTCGGTGATATCCCGCCCGCCGTCCCTTCCGCGGACCCCAAACCTTCACCACGACCCGCGCGGGCCTCTTAACTACTGCCCCCGGGCCCCGGCCCCCAGTTTTCGGGCGGGAAAGGGGTGGAAATTGCCGCCGCTTCGCACCCTGGGGTAACTCGCTTTTTGCTGCCTCCCCACAGTTGTTGCTAAGCTTCACCATCTTGTCTCTCTTCTCTGGTCACCGACCATATTTTTTCCCCCGTTTCTCTTCCCCATTTGAAAAAAGCAAGAATTTTTAAAAGAGGGACATTTTTTCCCCTTTTTTGGAGAAGCGAAAACTTGATGCATTTGAAATGCAAAAAAAACTTTTGCATTTTGGAGGGCGGCACGTGGCAGGGGATCGGGGTATTTTCGAGAGATTTGGTGTTTTGTCTGTTTGGAACGGAATCGGATACGTTTTGCGATTGTTTCCATTTTGTTCTGGTCTGGGAGCCGAGTTGGTGCCTGCTCGAGGCGCTGGGAGCCAGACGGGCATGTTAGGGGACCCTGTGCCGAGGGACCCAGAGGAGGCAAAACCAAAAGTTTATGTGGTGCTTGGGGTGGACCGGTCGGCGGATGTCGTGCCTTAATTAAAGCCTGGGTGCGGGGCACTTTTTATTTCACTGGGAAGCCTGTGAGGACTGGACGCGAGGGCTTTGCTTTGTAGAATGCTCGCTGGTGGTAGCTGTTGTTCCTCTCTTGTTTTTTCGAGACGCCTTTTTGTCAACATAACGATATGTTTATTGAACCGTACAACACCAAGAATATTTTCAGATATTTACAGCAATCCATCAACAGCCAGACGAATGGGGGGGCAGAGGGGGGAGTAAGACCTTTTTTGCTGTAATTTTGACTCGATCCTCCAGCGGTATGTGGCTTCATTCTTTTGACTTGTTTGTGGATGGAATGTTTACAGACATTTCTAATTTCTGCTTTAATTAATTAAAGAAATTGATCAAAGGCTGTTAAGAGGTCTTTTTGTTTTGCAGTTTGTCGCTCAGAATTGGCATTTCGAGAGAGGATTGGTATTAATTGCTAACAATTTTCTAGTACTCTAGTTTGTTTCAAGAAGTCATTTTGGGTAGACGTAATCTGCACCCTTTCAAATTATATAACAATATGAACATTATTTTTTATACTGATCATAATTTCCAGATAGGGGGAGGGAGTGATCGTGATTGTGGCAGGAAAACTTGTGTGTTTAGTAGTTTCATATGGTGATTTGATTTTTTTTTTAATGCTGGTAGGTAAGTAAGGAGGTCTCTATACCATGGCTCGTACAAAGCAGACTGCCCGCAAATCTACCGGTGGTAAAGCACCCAGGAAGCAACTGGCTACAAA